ATGTTGGCCTCGTGACCTCCACCCTTATTTTTCGTGAACGTAGGTTCTCGGTTCTGCGTACTCGTTCGCCCTGGCCGGCTTGATCCGAACCTAGTGCGGAGCGCCTGGTAGGCAAGGTTCAAGTCTATAGCTCTGTTGATTGTGTTAGTGGAGGACCAACTTTCCAGCACTAGTCTGGCCATTTTCTCATTGGCCATGCCAATCACCCTCGCCTTCTCAAAGGCGAGTTCGTGGTTCAGCTGCTGCACATGACCATAGACCAAACACAGTTTGTCCTTGTGATTGATTGCAAGTTGATGTTCGTGCCATCTTGTGCCCAGGCGTTTGCCCGTTTCGCCAACACCATACATGGACCCGATTTTACAATCAGACAGCAAATCATGAAACCCGACGACCTACTGCCATCAAACGAGCAATTAGCCCTAGTCTACAGCATACCATGCAAAAACTGCGAGAGGAGGTATATTGGTGAAACGGGCAAACGCCTGGACCCAAGATTGCACGAACATCAACTTGCGATGAATCACAAGGACAAACTGTGTTTAGCCAACATCAAACACTGTCTCACCGTCGCACCCGCGCGGCGAAGAACAACTCAAGTGAACAGCAACGAGTGATCAGTCCGCCGGTTGACTTGGGGGAGGCCAGCAAGCATATTTACTCGCCTACAACTACGCTGACCGCAGGGGGGGGACGAGGGTCACGCAAGCCCACCAGCAGTCAACCTCCGGGAGACCAAATGAAGTCGGCAACGAACGGACAGGTCAAAATTCGTGCGTCGACCACAGATATAATACGAGGCAGATGGCAAGGCTGGCTAACTCAAGACCACCGGACGCAGCAACCACAATACTCTGAAGATGGAAGCGAGAACGGTTCCGAAACGCCAGTTCAAATATAACTTGGTCCATGAACCCGCCCCTCTACTTCTTCCTTATCTTTAGGACATAATGAACGCGATAACACATCTGGACCCAGAATCTTTCGACATATAAATAGAAGAAAGTTTGCATGCGAATGGCTGCTCAATTTCAAAAGCTAGAGATGAAGAGCCTATAGTACGTGTTCCTTTTCTACGCTCCTTGTTGGAGCAGTTTTCTAAGGGTCCAGGATTTTGCCGATAGTAGACCGAAATCCTATTGGATTGTAGGCAGTAGTCCTCATATTATAATAGCACTAATGGCTTGCGACGTGTTCCTAGAGTGCTGATTTCGAAGCCAGCCTTTGCCGGCATGTGCACGCTCTGGATTATCCGCAGCGAGGCCACTGAGCGGACCGCGTTTTCTTTTTTCCAGGGTTGCTGTTGTCCCAAACTATGTTGTATTCGATTCTATTCCGTCACCTATGGTATGCTGCCTACTCTCATAAATGCACTGCTCATTGTATTCTTTTTCCTCCCCGGACGATTTTGTGTAAAATAAGGTTTGTATTCCGGAGGATTTTCAAAAGGCAATTTGTTTAGGAAAAAACATTTTTTAAGAGCTTGGGTCAGTAAAACAATAAATTATCTTCAAAAAGTGCACTTCAGAACTCTTTTCGTTGCTTTTTTCCTCTGTGTATAGTAGGTCTCCAGTAAGCAAAATATCATTAATTCGGACAGTTAGTTATTCGGCTGGTGTATATTTGCTCTGAATCTGCTTTTAGAGAAGTCAATTTGGCAAACATATGTTTTCAGCAAATCTTCATCGGGCCAAAACATTTGCAGGGGTAATTAGAACTATACAGTTGGACAGGGTTAATAAGGGTAGTCTGATTAAAATTCGTCGTTTACGCGCCGCCCACATGGGGAGGTCGGCGTGTAGAGGTTCTTGTCCACTCGTACGCGGACTCTTTCAATAGACATATCGATCTCCCAGATGCCTATCTCGCGTTGCGCGAGCAATGTCAGGGCT